ATAATAACATTGAGGTGATTATGATGCAATTAGCGCGCCAGGTGTGCGGTTGTACGTGGATGTCTGGTTGCCTGGTGCACACGAGCGCTAGGAAGTATCACGCCTGCCACTATTACCTGCATATTGTATATGTGTGTTGCGTGTACATGTGCTGTAGGTGTGCTGTGTGCATATGTGCTGAGAAGGGGGAGGAGTAAGGGGTGAGGAGAAAACGCGGGTGCGACGCGGGTGGGAAGAACGTGCCGTCTCTCGGTCGATCAGAAAATCTTTCAATCGTGACTTCCATCTTGCACTACAATTGCTGTGGGGCAATGTTTTCGATCCTTGCACCTACCCAACCCGTGCGATCCCTTGCACAAGATACGATTTGATGGATATCGGCTGATCTTCGCATCAGCCCAACACTCACCATCCCTGGCAACACATACCATTCGGTGCACATCAGCTGATCATCGTAACCATCCAACCCTCACGGTCCCTTGCAACAACAAGTATTTGGTGGACATCGGTTGGCCTGCGCAGTGACCCAACACTCACCAACATACACACCTGCTGATAATCACACCCATCCAACCCTCATGACCCCTGAAACAAATATCATGTGGTGGACATGAGCTGGTCTTCACAGCGCGCTGCCAGGCTTCCGAGACGTTCCCAGGCGCTCCCCACTATCGCCCCGAGACGGCCCACATATGCAGAAGATGCAAGGCCGCGTCGACGCGATGTGATGATGGATCCATCTTATGGGAAGGGTTTCGGGCGGCGGGGAATGATCCGCGCAAGCATCGGGTGATTCTAACACCCTACCTGTAGCGACCTTACCCTGCATTTATTATCCTACAATGTGTAAAGCCCTTGCACCCAGCTCTGGCGTATCCCCGACCAAGTCCAAGCGGGCCCGGGGGGCGATCCTTTTTCGCGATCCCCTGAACAAAAAAACGGGATGCGGTGCGTATGAACTGATCGTAGGATCGTCCTATCTGGAACCAAATCTGTACTCATAATGATACGGCGTGGCCATTTTGTTATCTTTGCACCTACCCACAACCTGTATGCTCCGCAACCAAACGTACAAGTCGGGACATATCTGCTGATGCCAATCTTCACGACCCCTTGAAACACATACCATTCGGTGCGCATCAGCTGCCCTCCCGGCCCCTACTAACAAACCTCATGTGGTGTGCATCGGCGGACATGGGCAGCGACCCAGCACCCACCATTCTATGCAGAAGGAACCATTCGGTGCGCATTTGCTCATATTTACACCCATCCAGCTCTCACGATCCTTTGCGACATATCATTTTGTGGAGATCGGCTTATCTGCACAGCGCGCTCGCAGGTCTCCAAGACGTTCTCAAGCGCTCCCAAACACTCCACTCGCCCCCTAAACGCTCGCAGACTCGCCGTCGTTACCAACATTAGCAACATCCACATATGCACCTTGACCGTTTCACAATGGTCGTCGCCGCATACGGCGGCAAAGAGCAGATGTGTCAGACCGCGTTGGCGCGTCCAGATCGTTGAGGAGGTCAACAATCTTATGGGGAGGGATAGACGTAAAACCCAAACACGCCCCAATATCGCCCCGAAGCGGCCCAAATGTGAAGATGGTGCAAAACCGCGTCGACGCAGTAAGTTTATGGGCCGATCTTATGGGAAAGGCTTCGGGCGAGGGGTGAGAGCTAATCGTCGGGAAGGTTTCGGCCGAGAGGGTTTCGGGCGGGGGGTCGGTCTTATGACCGGGGCGCGGTGCGCATCGGCTGACCGTGAGATCGTCCAATCTGGAGCCAAATCTATACTCGTAATGGTATGTGGGCACTTCCTCGCGCAGGCCAGCGCCTATACGGCGTCAATCAGAGCATACGGCTTCGGTGCATATCTGTTGATGCCAATCCTCACGGCCCCTTGAAACACATACCATACGGTACACATCAACTGATGTTCAAAACCATCCAACCCTCACGATCCTTAGCAACATATGCCAAGTGTGGGCGTCGGCTGACCTGCGCAGCGACCCAAGACTCACCATCCTACGCAGAAGGAGCAATTCAGTGCGCATCTGCTTATCTTACTTACACCCAACGATCGCGATCTCTTGCGACAGATACCACTGTGTGGTCACCGACTTATCTGCGCAGCCTGCTTCCAGGTCGCCAAATCGTTATCAGGCGCTGCCAGACGCTCCAATCGTCCCCCAAACGCTCTCAAGCTCGCCGTCGTCACCAGCATCAGCAGCATCCACATCCACATCTTCACCGTTTCGCCGTCCTCGTCGCCGCGGGAGGCGTCAGGGAACAGTTTGATTAAATCATGTTGGCGCGTTCAAGAGGGGAGGGATAGAAGCGATAGGGAAGGGAATCAGGTCGATCTTATGCGAAGGGATCGAAACAGGACCCAGGCACGTCGCAATACCACCTTGAGACCGCCCAGAAATGCTCGGAGGGTGCAGGAGATGCATGACCGCGTTGAAGCGGTAAGGGGATAGGTCGATTTTATGAGG